TACAAGAACAAGTTCTATGTCGAGGGAAAAAATACTTCATGTGTTTTTACAAATGCATAAAACATGCGGGAACACGATAAAAAAATTACTATCTAACACGCATGTACTCTAAAAAGTCTAAAAATAACATCAATTGATATCATAACCTAAAAAATAATTTCAAAATTATTAAATAAAGTAAAGTAAATAAATTATCTAATAAAGTTACGATGACCCCTATTTATTTTTCAAAAATGTATATATAACATTTGTCACAATTTCAAAAACAAAATCGCTAAACTGTCAGAAATATAAAAAGCATATTTTTAACCCTTAAATCCTTTTCTTTTAATAATTTTCTCTTTTATTTTAAGGTTTGCACTAAAAACCTGCAATGAGATGGAGACTAATAAAAAAATCCAACACTTGCCGAAAGGATAACGCCTCAACAAAAAACAACAAAATTCAAAAACCAAAATAAAAAAATAGTTTCAAGAAAAATGGAAAATACAATAAAATAGTCACTGCAGCAGAAAATATCCATCCAGTAAGTATTAGAATAAAAAATATGCAAAAAGTGGCAAAATTAATTTTGACATTTATAAAAGGCATCGAATCGAAATTTATTTGGATAATAAAAATACTTTACAACATTTACAGTAAATTCCATGAACAAAAACTACAAGTGTCTAAATTGACAACTGGCAATTAGCAAAAATAATTAGTATTAAAAATGTGATAACAAATAGATATCTAGCTGCAATGAAGCTCAGAAAAAAATTAACTAGTGGTGTATGGCATCGTGCCTTAAGGCAAATTGCTGGAACTTCCCGTACCGCAATTCAAAATTCGAGTAATTAAAAATAATCAATAATAATCAATAAAAGTTGATCAATGATTTGAAACTTTAAATAGAATTTCGAACCATATTAAATTATTCTATCAATCATTTATTAACTTCCCGTAGGGTAAGTTATAGTAATCGTCCAAAAATCGAAATCAAAAATTTTTACATTTCTCGACGTTTTGAAGGTTTCTGAACATTTTGGCATACTTCAGAAAAAATGGATGTGTTGTGTGTGTGTGTTTGGTGTGTGTGTGTGTGTTTTGTATGTCCGCTTTTTCGTTCCCACGTTTTCGGGCGCACGGATCAACCGATTTGAATGGTTTAAAAAACATTCGATTCCTATTGATAGGGAGATGTGCTGATTAGTTTTTGGCAAAGGCAGGTCCAGCCGTTACGGGAGATATGGAGCAAAGAGTGCAGAAAATAGAAACGAGAGTTTTTGAGGGAACGGATCAACCGATTTGAATGGTTTAAAAAAACATTCGATTCCTATTGATAGGGAGATGTGCTGGTTAGTTTTTGGCAAAGGTAGGCCCAGCGGTTCCGGAAATACAGAGCTAAATGTTAAAAAAATGGCAGTTTTTGAGAGAACTAAGTGTCCGATTTAAATGACTTAAAGAACTTTCTGCTTGTTTCAAAACAATAATTGATATTGGAAAAAAAAAATTTTTGTTTCTTTTTTTTTTTTTCAAAAAATTTTTTTGTAATTTTGGATTAAAAATTCAAAAAATCACCCAAGCTAAGCACAGTCTAAGCGCCACTCTGGTACAAATGTTTACCCAAGTGCGTTTAGACTGTTTATGTATTGGGGCACTTTTCCAATTTTGTGAAAATTATTGAAAAATGTGAAAATGCCGCCAAGCTAAGCACAGTATAAGTGAAAATGTCGCACAGAATTATTTGCAAATGCGTTTAGACTGTGACTATGCGGGAGCACTTTTTCAATTTTGTGGAAAATTTGGCAACTATTTTTTTTTTTGAAATTTGATTCGAAATGAAATGACGATTGTTAATGTTCTCGAGATGATAAATTGATTTATTTATGATTACGTAGGGTAAGTTATAGTAATCGCACAAAAATCGAAAATGAAAATTTTTATATATCTTTACGTTTCAAAGGTTTCTGAATATATTGGCATACCTTAGAGAAAAATTGATGTATGTGTGTGTATGTGTGTGTGTGTGCGTGCATTTTTGTGTGTTCAGATACAAAGTTTCGTCGACGATTTCGGGAACCGGGATGAAGCAATTTGAATAATTCAAAAAAACATTCGATTCGTATTGATAAGGAGACGTGCTGATTAGTTTTTGTCAAAGGCAGGTCCGTCCGAAGATATGGGGCAAAAACGGTAACTCAGTTTTAAGAGAACGGAGCGTCCGATTTGTATAATTCAAAAACATTTACTTGCATTATCAGGATGAAGATTTGATCAAATTTTCATGAAAATAGGTCTAGCGGTTTCGGAGATCTAGTAAAAAAAATAAAAAAAAAAAAAATAACATTTGGCGGTCAACAATAATCATTAGACATTAGACATATGCACATCAAATTATCAGATATTTTATAGAGATTTTAACAATAAGTATACATTTGTTAACATTCCTATGGGTTCCGTACCAATGCTTATGCGTTAGACAGCGACGCGGCGCTTACGCGCTTCGATATTTAGTCTCTATGCATTAAAGCAGTACGATTGCTTTGAAAAAAAGTTCAGAATTTACAAAATATTTCAAAACAAATTTTTCAACAAAAAGTAAGTTTTTGTCAAAAATTTATATAGTTCCTCGAAAATCTATTTTTTTCAGAGTAAATTTTTTTCAAAAATGTTAATCTTTTCAAAAAAAATAATAATTTTTGGTACGGGAAGTTCCAGCAATTTGCCTTAAGGCACGATGCCATGCGCCCAACTAGTTTTGAAATATTTTGGAAATTCTGAACTTCTTTTCAAAGCAATCGCACTGCTTTAACTGCATAAGGACGAAATATCAAAGTGCGTAAGCGCCGCGTCGCCGTCTAACGCGTAAACATTGGTACGGAACTCATAGTAATGTAAACAAAATTTATACTTATTGTTAAAATCTCCATAAAATATCTGATAATTTGATGTGCATATGTCTAATGTTCATTTTTGACCGCCAAATGGCTCATTTTTTTACTTTTTCCTTCATATCTCTAAAGTCGTATGACCTCCCTTTCCAAAAATTTGAACAGTTCTTCATTTAGTCAATACAAATGAAATGTTTTTTGAATTATTCAAATCGGACGCTCCGTTCTCTTAAAAACTGAATTACCGTTTTTTGCACCATTTGCCCCATATCTTAGAAACGGCTAGACCTGCCTTCGCCAAAAACTAAAAGCACGTCTCCTTATCAATACGAATAGAATGTTTTTTGAATTATTCAAATCGGTTGATCCGTGTTCCCGAAATCGTCGACGAAAATTTGTATCCGCACATACATACACACACGCACATACATACATACACACACACACACATACATCAATTTTCTCCAAGGTATGCCAACATATTCAGAAACCTCTGAAACGTAAAGATATATAAAAATTTTCATTTTCGATTTTTTTGCGATTACTATAACTTGCCCTACGGGAAGTTAATAAATACGAATGATTGATAGGAAGATACACTATATAGGAAATTATAACGTGCCGATTGTATATTTTGTTTAAAAATCATTGGTAACGAATTAGATATGAGGACAATGCACGTGGACGACTAAAAATTTTTATAAATGGTTTCCATTCATTAGGTCATATATAATATATGAACAATGTATTTAAATGAATCCCGGTATTGGTATCATATGCCCTTTGTAAGTTTGAGCACTTTTTCAACGGAAAACACATATGTCCTCATATATGAGGACTAGCAATCCATGTAGCGTAAAGCCTATAAAAAATATACAAAAACCGGTCAAAAATTATTTCTGACATTTATGTGATCGATATTTATTTGGATTTATCGATGTTACCGAAAATACTTCTTAACACAGTTTTGAAACAAATATCACCAATTGTCTAATTTGATAACTGGAAATTACCAAAAATAATTATTATTAAAAATGTAACAATAAATAAATATACAGATGCAATGGAGCGCCAAAAAACATGAAAAATTTAAAAAATCCCTTAACATGTGTCAATAATTAACTTCCCGTAGGGCAAGTTATAGTAATCGCAAAAAAATCGAAAATGAAAATTTTTATATATCTTTACGTTTCAGAGGTTTCTGAACATTTTGGCATACCTTAGAAAAAATGGATGTATGTGTGTGTGTGTGTGTGTGTGTGTATGTATGTATGTATGTACGTGTGTGTATGTATGTGCGGATACAAATTTTCGTCGACGATTTCGGGAACACGGGTCAACGGATTTGAATAATTCAAAAAACATTCGATTCGTATTGATAAGGAGACGTGCTGATTAGTTTTTGGCGAAGGCAGGTCTAGCCGTTCCGAAGATACGGGGCAAAAAGTGCCAAAAACGGTAACTCAGTTTTTAAGAGAACGGAGCGTCCGATTTAAATAATTCAAAAAACTTTTCACTTGTATTGACATGATGAAGAATCGATAAAATTTTCATAAAGGTAGGTCTAGCGGTTTCGGAGATATGGAGGAAAAAGTAAAAAAATGAGCCATTTGGCGGTCAAAAATGATCATTAGACATATGCTCATCAAATTATCAGATATTTTATAGAGATTTTAACAATAAGTATGAATTTGGTTTACAGTCCTATGGGTTCCGTACCAATGCTTAGGCGTTAGACAGCGACGCGGCGCTTACGCGCTTTATATTTTGTCCCTATGCAGTTAAAGCAGTACGATTGATTTGAAAAGAAAGTTCAGATCTTCCACAATATGTCAAAATAAAAAAAAAATTTTTCAAAAAAAAAAAAAAAACAAAAAAAAAATTAAAAAAAAATTTTTTTAAAAAAAAAAATTTTTTTCAAAAAATAGTAATTTTTTGTCCAATTTATAGTTTCTCAAAATCTTATTTTTTCAAAGTAATTTTTTTTTCAAAAATGTTAATCGTTTTTGTAAATTATAATTTTTGGTACGGGAAGTTCCAGCAATTTGCCTCAAGGCACGATGCCTTAATTGCCTTAAGACAGAATTCCACTTACAGCTAGTTTTGGTATTTTTTTTGCAGTACAAGATGAACCGCTACGTGACCTTAGGCCAATTGGGCGACGGGACCTATGGGTCTGTGGTTTTGGGCCAAAGAAAGGACACCGGCGAAAGGGTGGCCATCAAGAGGATGAAGAGGAAATATTATTCCTGGGAAGAGGCCATGAACTTGAGAGAAGTCAAGGTAATATCATACACCATACACTACTTGTCCTCATATGTTTTCCATTTTTTAAAGTGTCAAAAGATAGAATAGGACTGTGACGTCACTTAGTAAACGAGCGTTGCCGACAATCGGGAAACACTCCCGATTATATAAATGTCATATGTCATGTGCTTAAACAAAAAGTAAATGTTTTTGCTCGATCTGCATAAACAATAGTGGATATTGCATATTATATTATATATAATACATTAATCTTATATATAAAAATGGAGCTCTCAATCAAATGATTCGGTAAAACTCGAAAATGGCTAAACCGATTTGGCCAGTCTTAGTCTTGAAAAATTCCTGTTAATCAGTAGGTTGTCGAAAAGGTGAGATATTATTTCAAAATCGCGTACAAACTTTACATTTTCAATTTGAACATTTTTGTAGAAGCGTAATTTGAATAAAACAATGGACGGTGGCTCATACGTCAAATGTCAAACGTTTTCGACAGATGATGTTCAATTACGTTTAATAGGATGTTTTACGTTAATATTATTTAACTATGATTAAATTGTAGTATGTAGTTTTGTTTGTAGTTATATTTATATACGTTAGTAAACGTTTTGGCGTAAACAAATTGACGGCTTAAAATATATTTTTAAAGTATAAAGCTTTGTAATACAGTTATGAAATTATAGTATGTTATTTCTTAATATGTGTACTAAATTATGAAAATATAAAATCAAATATGTTTCTAACAGAAGAAACTAAAAAATTGCAATGCACACGTGCATACTCTATTTTTATTAGTTGCGAATCGACGTTTGGATATGATATGAGAAGTACTTTTGAAAAATGTTTTAAAAACATACAATATTATACTAGAGCTATAAAATTTTAGTACCTAATATATGTACTTAATTATAAAAATATAAAATCAAATATGTTTCTAACAAAAAAAGCTATGAATGTGCAATTTTGTAAACAAATGCACTCTTGCATATCTAGTTTCCAATAGTTGCAAATCCACGGTTTGATGAGTATTTTGAAAAATATTTAAAAATATAAAACTTTATACTGGAGTTACAAAATTGTAGTATATTATTTCTTATTATGTGTACTAAATTATAAAAATATAAAATCACATATGTTTCTTACAAAAACAGCTATAAATTTGCAATTCAGTAAAATCATGTAATAGGGCCGCAAGTGTTACTAGAAACTCAAAATACAAACTTTTTTGAAATCTTATTATGAAAACGCACTTTTTGGCATATTTTTCTCAAACACGGTGCTCTAAAAGATTTTATTTGTATAATTATATACTCATTGGTACTTATAAAACATTTTCTAGGTTATATTATTTTTTATTTATGTTCTTTAAATTCAGAATCTAAATTTGGTATTGATCAAAGGGACATTTTGTCGAATAACATTTACCCAGAATTTATTGAAGAATATATAGTAATATATGCAAGTCCGGGGTTAAAAAAGTCCACCACCGATGTTTCAAAAATCAGTAAAGATAAGCATTGTTTAACAACAATATTTGAAAGTAGAGGGAAAAATATGTATAACCAGCTATACCCTTGACTCTCATGACTTTGCTATCGGGAGATAAACGGTAATCTTTGAAAATACATAATAAAAGTATTTTCTTCCGTTGGTAGTTTTTTAGCATTAGTTAAAAATGTAATTATTTTGTAAAACACAAACAAATTTTTGAAAGATAGCAAAAAATCACATTTCTACAATGAAGAAGTAGCTGGCAGTTTTACTGAACGTAGTCAGATAATTGTTCGTTTGAAATGTGTTATTGGTGTGATATAATTGCGTTATGGTTTTCACAATATAGTTTATATTTGCTCAAAGTCAAATTGGACCTTTAATGAATGTTACTTGAAAATTTTCAAAAAGCAGGTCAAAGAAGAAATACTTAATTCATTTTCTATCTCTCCTCGCAGAAATAAGAAAATTTTGTATAAGCTCAGTGGTATCATTTACAATTATACACAAAATCCAGAATCTGAAAAACTTAAAACGTAATCAATAAGTGTATTGACAAAATATAGACAAACTATTGGGATTTATTGTTTTGATAATACCTCATTGTATATAGCATTCAAACAACACTTAATCCTTATACACTTAAAGTATTAATATTTTTGATTCTCTAGAAAGTGTTTAGAATATACCTTACTTAGCAAAACAACGTTTGCCGGGTCAGCTAGTATAAAAAAGATTTTAACATGTGGATTCGTATTTATGTACATTATTAATATCATTTCTTGCAAAATTAGCAGCCATCACAATTGCCATTATATTATTAAAATGCAACATATGACATATGATATTTAATCAATCGAGAGAGTCCGCGATTGTCGGCAATGTTCGCTCAGACATGTGACGTCACACAGTTCGTTCTAAGTTTGAGCACTTATTTTGCGCCTGATTAGCAGTCCATGTAGTGTAAATCCATAATCAATTATCTTCTTTCTATTTTAGTCCCTTAAAAAATTATCACATGCAAATGTGGTGAAACTGAAGGAAGTAATTCGAGAAAACGATGTCCTTTACTTCGTCTTTGAATATATGAAAGAAAATTTATATCAACTTATAAAAGATCGGGACAAACATTTTCCTGAACACGTCATCAGGGATATGATGATGCAGGTAATAAAATAATAGTAAAAAATCTGTTTACATACACACACACATACTTTTTCCAAATTTGATCTCATTCGATTCAGAATGGCTTGAAACGTCAAAAAAACATAAAATCAGCGAATCGAATTTTTTTATTAAAACATAAACTTCTCCTTCGGGAAGTTAAAAAGTAAAAATGTATGTTACTCGTATTATCCTTTATTAATTGGTTCATTTTTTTTTCTACCAAAGGTTCTACAAGGTTTGGCATTCATGCACAGGCACGGATTTTTTCATAGAGACATGAAACCAGAGAATTTGCTTTGTATGGGCCCAGAATTGATTAAAATCGCTGATTTTGGCCTGGCCAGAGAAATACGGTCCAGGCCTCCTTATACTGATTATGTGTCGACAAGATGGTAAGAAAATAAAATACTAAATAACCAACTTTTCTTTAGTGTAACCTCAAAACTTTTTTACTGTGCTCCAATTTGCATGAAATTTTTCATTTCTCAGTGGTGTTTTTTTTTTATTTTTCCAAAATAACGTCGGATATCGATAGAAGAACTAATTATAAGAAAAAAATGTTCTATAAAGTTTTTCAAGAAAACAAATACTTTTCAAGTTACTGGCTACTAAAAATTTGTTTCTTTCGGCGTTTTTCATCGTTTTTTCGCAAATATCTCCAAAAATATACATTTTAACAAAAATCATGTAATGAACAAAATAATGCCAATTAAAATCTTTGTGAGATGGTAAGAAGATAATGTACTAAATAACCAACTTTCCTTTAAAATAAATCATTCTAACCCAAAACCATATCAAAAAACTCGGTGTATAGTCTTTGTGTGGTGAAAAAACATATTTTTCTGGTGTACAAAGTTCTTATACTCCAGTAAAAGGAGCGTTTTGTTTCTGAATTTTTTTACTGTGCTCAAATTTGCATGAAATTTTGGAATTAGGTTCATTTTACTCTCAAAATAATTTAGACTCCTTTGCCACTTCCCGAGGGGATGACATCCATTCTCAGTGGCGCAATTTTATTTTTTTCAAAATAACGTCAGATATCGATAGAGGAACTAATTATAAGAAAAAATGTTTCATAAAGTTTTTCAAATAAACAAATATTTTTACGGCTACTGAAAATTCGTTTCTTTCTCGTGTTTTTCATCGTTTATTTGCAAATATTAGGTTGTCAAATATCTCCCTTCCGCCTTTTTGTATTATAAACCAAGAGCAAAAAAGCGGAAGGGAGATATTTGACAACCTAATATCTACAAAAATATACATTTTAACAAAAATCATGTAATGAACGAAATAATGTCAATTAAAATCTTTAATTATTTCCTTTCCCATTCATTTTATCTTATCCATTCTAATTCAAAACCATATAAAAAACTCTGGGTATAGTCTTTGTGTCGACCTGATGGTAAAACGACATATTTTTCTATAACTCTTTCAATTCTAATTTTATCTCAGTTTGTAATATACCATTTTTAAAGGTAATTAAAAGGGCTACAACTTTCTCTATTATAAATTTTACCGTAACTCGTCTTATTTTGAAACGGCAAAGGGTTGAAGGGCTCGAAAGAAAATCTGGTTGGACAGCCGCGCACTCTTTAAGCAATCATAACTCTAACAATATTTTTGTAACAGAAAAAAATTAAAAAGCAATAATTAGTCAGAAAAAGACTAATATTTTCAACCGAGTATAGTATTTTCTGATACATTTACTTTACAATAAAATAATTTTCAAACCCTTGAAAATTCTACAACCCTTGCGAATAACCTAACAATACTTTTTGGTATGACTTAAAAAGATTTAAGTATAAAGTAAATTATTTATTATCTTTTTATCTTAATTATCGAATTCTTAGCTTTATTTTAACCTTCAAAAACAACCCCTTGAAGAAAATTTGTTTAGAATAATTGTTCTAAAAATGAAAAAAAATCAGTATCAGGTGCTATATCAAATTCTCAAAAATAATTATGTTTCGACAAGATGGTAAGAAGATAAAAAAATAATAAACAAATATGCAGCATTTTCTTTGTCAAGTATCCAGTAAAGTTTTTCCTTTTACCATCCATTTGATTACTTATTAGTTAATTTTATCTTCTCCAGCATCATGATAGTAGTTGCATTATTCCTTAAAATTGTGTATATATATATATATATATATATATATATGATAAAAATTATTTCTTGGGCATCCATCCAATAATTAAAAAAACAGTTTTAATGCAAAATGTTTTAATTAAGAGAACATACGTTTCGGGTCCAGATTTGACCCATCTTCAGTGCATACAAATAAATTTAAAAAAAAATAACACAAAGAACAATCCAAAATAGCAACGAAAAAAATAAGTATAAAATAAAAAATTGAAAAAACATCAAACACGTAACTCTGTCTCCAAACTAACAAGATGTGCTTTTGGAATAAGCTTTTTTATAATAAAACATATTATTTATTTTAATTTTTACAATTTTCAAAAATTTTCATAACTTGATGTTTTTTCAATTTTTTATTTCATGCTTATTTTTTTCGTTGCAATTTTGTGTTGTTCTTTGTGTTATTTTTTTTAAATTTATTTGTATGCACTGAAGATGGGTCAAATCTGGACCCGAAACGTATGTTCTCTTAATTAAAACATTTTGCATTAAAACTGTTTTTTTAATTATTGGATGGATGCCCAAGAAACAATTTTTATCATATCATTTCACCATCTGAAGAAAAACCTCTCGCTTTATATATATATATATATATATATATATATATATATATATATATACGTATATATATATATATATATATATATATATATATATATATGTACCATTTATTACTGTCCTACTAATATTACCCTTTAATAAATAAATAAATATCAATAAAACTTGAAAGTATGACACATGTTATATACTCTTGATTTATTAATCAGCGATATTTCGGATTAATTTATTTAGTTACACTTGAAAATATATCAAATTACACGAACGATTATTGAAATAAATTTTTAAAAATACTGTAATTTCAATCAAGCTAAAATATAAACTATAAAAAATAATAAAATGATTAAATTACATTTTATAATAAAATATTTTACACTAAATAATACGTCACATCGTCATTTTCATTTCGACGATTAATTAAATATCGGAAAGTTTACTTTGCATATTATTATTTTTATATATTTATTTGAAATGATATATTAATTATTTTTCTTGCCATTGCAATCACTGATTAATTTTAATTCGACCAACAAAGGAATTAACGGTTTAGTTATTGAGTTTCTATAGAATAACCAGATTAATAGCATTTGTATGAATTTCGGACAAGGCATCAGGTAATAAAAGGATTAGTGCATTGAATGCAATGTTAATCTTTTTTTAAAAAATTGGCTTGAACACTGTTATTGCATCTAATAAAGCAATTTAAAAAATATTAATGAATACTATACTTTATTCCTGGCGTAATAATATATTAGGTTGTCAAATATCTCCCTTCCGCTTTTTTGCTATTGGTTTATAATGCAAAAAGGCGGAAGGGAGATATTTGACAACCTATATATGTGCGTTTACGTTCATTATTGCGTAAATATTTTAAACAAATTGTAAACTGATAACTGGAGTTTTTTTCAAATGTTTTAAAATTCATAAAATTTATATAAATATTTCGAAAAACTTTAGAATATTTGATAATTTTTTTATCAAATTTTTAAATTTATTAAAGAAAAATTTTACATTATAAATATATTGAAGTATTTATTTTTTATAAATGAAAAAAATGACAAAAAAACATAAAAGCATTTTTTTTCGAAACCTGCCTTCCCCCAAAACTAATAATTTCTTCCCATCGCCAACAAAAGCAAAATGTTAATTAATGTTTATTCTCATCATCCGATTAGAATAATTCGCTTACTCAAAAACGACATGATCATTTTTTGCACCCTCTGCTTCAACAAACTCGTACTAAAATGACAGCGCGACCGCGCTTCGTACCCGTTTTAGAGACAAAATATCAATTCGCTATAGCGCGCGTAGCATTAAAACAATATAATATTTGTATTTATTATTAAAATTCATATAAAATATCTGATACTCTGATGTGCATATGTCTAATGTTCATTTTTGACTGCCAAATGGCTCATTTTTTTACTTTTTCCTCCATATCTCCGAAACCGCTAGACCTGTCTTTTAAAAAATTTAAACAGTTCTTCATTTAGTCAATACAAATAAAATGTTTTTTGAATTATTCAAATCGGACGATGATAAAAACTGAGTTACCGTTTTTGGCACTTTTTGCCCCGTATCTTCGGAACGGCTAGACCTGCCTTCGCCAAAAACTAATCCGCACGTCTCCTTATCAATACGAATCGAATGTTTTTTAAATTATTCAAATTGCTTCATCCGTGTTCCCGAAATCGTCGACGAAAATTTGTATCCGCACACACATACATACACGCACGCACACACACACACACACATTTATTTTTTTTAAAGTATGCCAAAATGTTCAGAAACCTTCAAAACGTCGAGAAAAGTGAAAATTTTCATTTTCGATTTTTTTGCGATTTCTATAACTTACCCTACGGGAAGTTAATAATTTTTAAATATGTAATCATAAATATTAAATGTTTTTATTCAAGGGATGAAAAATTATAGTTATGATAGTTATTTTTGAAAATTTGATATAACATTCAAACCATTAACTTTTTTAATTTTAGAATAATGTTTTTGAAACAATTTTTTATCAAAGAATTGTTTCTAAGGGTCAAAAAGGATTAAAAATTCTATCATCTGTCCTCCTGTCCTAAAAACTGTTAAGTTGATGTCTTATTTCAATAAACACTATTTTTTCTCATTTTTTTAGGTATCGTGCACCAGAAGTTCTACTCCATTCTACGACCTACAATAGTGCAATAGATTTATGGGCAGTGGGTTGCATAATGGCAGAGTTGTACACTTTTAGACCACTGTTTCCTGGTAATAGTGAAGTTGATGAAATTTATAAAATTTGTGCTGTTCTTGGAACCCCGGAAAAGGTAAGAAGAGGATAGAAATCAGTATCTTACAGAATCTACAAAATGTTTTCAAAAAACCATTATGGTTTTTGAAACTGATCTATTTCTAATAATCGATGACTGATTTTTTTCTATTTAGGCTGATTGGCCAGAAGGCCACATATTAGCATCAGCAATGCACTTTCGGTTCCCTGTATTCCCAAGAGTTCCCCTATCAAGTGTAGTTCCAGGAGCAGGAAACCAAGGGCTAAGATTAATGGAAGATTTGCTAATGTGGAATCCTGCCAAAAGGCCGACTGCTTTGCAATCACTCAGGTACAACTTCAAAAACAAATCCTGCCTTAGGACCAATAATCATCAATCGTTTTTTTCCCTAGGTATCCATACTTCCAAGGAGCCACCAAACCCATAAACCACGGCCTGGTGGTCAAACCAAAACCCCTAATTCAACAGCAACAATTGCCGCCCTTGGAACCAAAGGACATTTCACCGGATACAACAATAAACAATAACATATCGAGTAATCTGGTGCAAGTGAACAACGATACAACCACAAATTCTTCATCGGCAATTTTGAATCAAAATCAAAATAGGGTTGACAAGGTTGCGCCCTTGAATATAACAGGCATCAGCACGAATAGTTTTCTAAATATCAGTTTGGATAGTTTGGGAAGCACTATTAATATTTCCAATGGAGGTGTCACAAATGCCAAAATAAATGGAGTCACTTTTAAGCCGAACAATTTGCAGCAGCAGAATGTTTCGACGTTGTTCGGAGATAATAGGTAAGGGTAAGGGTAATAGATAAATGCAAAAATTGTGTTTGGGGTTAAAATTCATTTTGGCTTAGGGTTGCATGAAATTGAGATTACCCACAAAAATTGTTTACTCAGACAGCAAAATTTTAAACGTTTATTTGGGTAATTCTAAGCTATCTTATACTTATTTCTTTGTACTGAAAATGTCTATCTAGTTGCCGTATTTTACATAAAAACAAGTCCGGGAGAATGTTCGAGGATTCTGTTATCATAACATTCTTCCTTGCTTGTTTATATGTAAAATACGCCTGACCGCACGGCAAATGGATAAACATTTTCATAATTTTCAATACCAAGAACAAGCATAATAAGAGAGCGTTGCCATGGCAACGCTATGTTATTAACTCTGTTACGGCAGAATTGCCCCAAATCAATTCAAAATGTTAAGAAAAGGGACTCTACTGACGAGCAAACTATATAACTCCATAGATATTAAGAAAATGACTTTACTGACGAGTGCACAGAAAAAGAAATGATCAATATTTTAAAAAGGGACTCTACTGACGAGAAAACTTAAGAGAAGGGACTCTACTGAGGGGCAAACTGAAGAAAATTTGATCAATATTCAAAAAAAGGGACTGTACTGACTAGCAAATGGAAACAAAATTAACAATTTTAAGAGAAGAGACTCTACTGACGAGCAAACTGGTAGAAATTCAATACCAAAATAAAGGGACTCTACTGACAAGCAAATTGAGAAAAAAAACTCTACTTTCGAGCAAATTGCAGAAAAATTGATCAATGTTAAAAAAGGGACTCTACTGACAAGCAAACTGAAGGATATTATCAATGTTAAGAAAAGGGACTCTACTGACGAGCAAACTGAAGAAAATTTGATCAATGTTAAGAAAAGGGACTCTACTGACGGGCAAATTGAAGAAAAATGGATCAATATTTTAAAAGGGACTCTACCGAAGAGTAAATTAAAAAATGTTAAGAAAAAGGACTCTACTGACGAGCAAATTCAAGAAAAAATGGATCAATATTTTAAAAAGGGACTCTACTGATGAAAAAACTTAAGAGAAGGGACTCTACTGACAAGCAAATTGTCTGATATTATCAATGATACCAAAAGGGACTCTACTGACGAACAAACAGAAAAATAGTGTCAATAACAAGAAAAGGGACTCTACTGACGAGCAAACTGAAAAATGTTAAGAAAAGGGACTCTACTGACGAGCAAATTCAAGAAAAATGGATCAATATTTTGAAAAGGGACTCTACTGATGAGAAAACTGAAAAATGTTAAGAAAAGGGACTCTACTGACAAGCAAATTCAAGAAAAATAGTGTTAATGAGAAGAAAAGGGACTCTATTGACGAACAAACTGAAGGATATTATCAATGTTAACAAAAGGAAAGTCAATTATTTTCAAAAATATTAAAAATCTCAAAAATCGTTTTTTTCGGAGTTCTAAAAGAAAATTGAAGCTTATTTAAAAAAAATATTTTTGGTGCCGGAAGTTCTAGCAATTTGTCTTAAAGCACGATAAAAAATATTTCGAAGTATAAAAAAATCTAATTTTTTTTTCAAAAATGATAAAAATCTCAAAAATCGTTTTTTTCGGAGTTCTAAAAAAAAATAGAATCTTTTTTAAAAAAATATTTTTTGTGCGAGAAGTTCTAGCAATTTGTCTTAAAGCACGATGAAAAAATGTTTCAAAGTGTGAAAAAATCTATTTTTTTCGAAGAAACCGCACAAATGTCAAAAAAACGATATTAAATAACAGGATGTTTTTGACTCAGCTTTATAACATACGATTGACGTTGTAGATTATGTATAAAACGCTTGAATGCACAGCAAATAAATGACATTTTGACAGTATTCAGTCTGAAAGAAGATTTGATTTATACACTTTGTAGTATCATATCAACTACCCTCACCATTTATTTCTGGAACATCCACAATTTTAACACGTTTCACAATTAATACATCATCATCTATTTATTTGTAGGCAACAAAAATCACTGTACACTGAAAAATCGAATCAAATCGCACAAAAGCATCACAAACCACAAGCTTTGATCAAATGGGGATTTAAGGATCCAGGAACCATCAACGAGGAAGATGATCCTTTGGATTCGATATTAGGGTAAATTATTTTAACCAAAATTTGTTTCGTTATATTACTATTTTTTTTTTTGTCCCCAGGACTAAGATATCAGCTCCCCTGCAAATAGATCCTCTACCAGCCAGACAACAGAGTTATAGGGATAATGAGAATGTTTTGAACAAATTGGGGTCCTTAAAAGGTAACAATCCCTACAAAAACAATACTTCGTATGGTATCCAAGATATTTTGCAACCCTTTACTTTGTCTGGAGTCGTCAGCAGTAGGCCTAGAGTTAGTGCAAAGCAGCAGTATTTGTCTAGTTCCAGGTAAATATTAAAAATAAATACATCAAATACCTATTTTGAAGAACTTCATGTAATTAAAATTAACCGTTGCAACCAAAAATTGAAGCCATACTTTTATATTTGTTTTATTTATCAAGCGCTGCAGCCATAAAGTGTTTTTCTGGTATTTAATAGGTTCGTTTGGTGCACTTTTTCACGTTTTGCGTTATTTCTTTAAAATTTTCTTTCAATACATAGTTATTATTATATATCATTGAAAAGCTAATAAAATTGTCTAGAAACGTGTATTTACCAATTGTTATAGTTTAGAACAAAATCATATTGAAAACAATGGTCAAACATAAAAAGTGCCAGTTAGATTATTTGTTGGTATTTAATAGATACGTTGGTTGCATTTTTGCATGTTTTGCGTTATTTCTTTAAAATTTTCTTTCAATACATAGTTATTATTATATATCATTGAAAAGCTAATAAAATTGTCTAGAAACGTGTATCTAACAATTGTTATAGTTTGGAACAAAATCATATTGAAAACAATGGTCAAACATAAAAAGTGCCAATTAGATTATTTGTTGGTATGCAATAGGGACGTTGGTTGCACTCTTTTACGATTTGCTTTATTTCGCTAAAATTTTGTTCAAGAACATATACATTATTAAATATCACTAGAAAGATAATGAAATTATCTACATATGTGCATATAACTTTTACTATTGTTCCAAACAAAACTAAATAAAATAAAATATTTCTAAACTTTCAAGTGCCATTTTATATTATCAGTTTAATCAGTTTTATATACATAAAATTGTCTAGAAATCCGTATATAACGTTTAAAAACTTTTCGAACAAAATTTAGCATAAAAAATCTGTAATTCTATCGACCCGTATAGAAATCATATCATCGAGAGCGAATGACCCTCACTTGACCTTGCCGTAACAATTTCCGTTGCATTTGTAAATTTAGCATAAAAATCTGTAAAGTTGAGACTGTAGTTAGCCATTGGTGGTCAGTGATTACGTTTTTTATATTTACTTAAATATTCCTAAAAAATTTATTCAACATATATATATATATATATATATATATATATATATATATATATATCGTTATATATCGTTAAAAAGCTAATAAAATTATATACAACGTTGTATATTACACTTTAACACGTTTCGAACAAAATTATTTACAAAATATTTCTAAACTTTCAAGTGCCATTTTATATTATCAGTTTAATCGGTTTTATATACACAAAATTATCTAGAAATCCGTATATAATGTTTAAAAACTTTTCGAACAAAATTTAGCGTAAAAAATCTGTAATTCTATCGACCCGTATTGAAATCATATCATCGATAGCGAATGACCCTCACTTGACCTTGCCGTAACTAATTTACGTTGCATTTGTACGGATTCACACCCATGTCGCGCCTAAAAAAGTTTTACTTCAAACTCATTTTTCCAACCTTCACCATATTGACACGAATGTTTCTTTCAGATATTCTTCCGATCCTGCCATTTTTATTAACTCATGATTTATATCGTTTAATCTTAAAATGTTTTAACATAACACCGATAAATGAACAATATGCTTCACGCTTTCGGTGACGTACGCACGTATAAAGTCAAATCCGACCAATCAGAATCGACCCATATAGAAATCATATCATCGATAGCGAATGACCCTCACTTGACCTTGCCGTAACAATTTCCGTTGCATTTGTACGAATTTACACCCATGTCGCGCCTAAAAAAATTTTGCTTCAAAATATTTTTCCAACCTTTGGCAGTCTCCATATTAATACTATTATTTCTTTAAGGTATATAACAGGCGTCCAGCAAAACAACCAGAAATCTTCTATTGACGAGTATCAAAGCAACAAGCACAAAAACACGAACGATCTCAGCAGCCTTTTCTATCCGAGTCCCAAGAATCCAAAACAGGATCTGGATTATCCGACGATCGACAGTTTGAAAAATATTTTCCATACGAGTGCCAGGGATAAATATTTGAGCCAGAGCAGATATATTGCTGGCGACTCCAATTCGCCACAATATAAAATTAATTTGAACAATCAGCAGAGGAATCGGCTGCAGCCTTTGAATAATGGTAATAATAGACAAATGTTATGGCAAGGCCATGTTATGAAGAACTTTCCATACTAAATATTGACAAAAGACACCGAAAACCTAACCCAGAAAACGCACAAATGTCAAAACAACGATGTTAGATAACAGGGTCTTTCTGACCCAGCTTCATAACATACGCGTAACGTTGCAGTTTATGTGTGAAACGTCACATCGCTCCCCTTTTTTCAATCTGCAACTTTATTGAAGAACGTTTTACTGTGATAATAAGCAAATATATGACATTTTAACAGTATTCAGTAGCATAATGTATGGAAGTTGGAGCGTAACATGGCCTTGCCATAACATTTTTAATGATGGCACACACTTAGAGTCGAAACGTATCAAAAAACATCTAGTTTAGTCTAGTTTATCCATCAGCAGAGGGATAAATAATAGTAAGCAAAAAGATTTTTTATGCAGGCCTCATTTTATTAATAAAAAAAACTATGTTAAGTTTTAAACAAAATGATGATGGCACACATTTGGAGTCGAAACGTATTGATCTGGTAACAATAACTGCCTTTGAAAAATGGTAATAACAGACAAATGTTATGGCAAGGCCATGTTATGAAGAACTTTCCATACTAAATATTAACAAAAGACATCGAAAACCTAACCCAGAAAACGCACAAATGTCAAAACAACGATGTTAGATAACAGGGTCTTTCTGACTCAGCTTCATAACATACGCGTAACGTTGCAGTTTATGTGTAAAACGTCACATCACTCCTCTTTTCTCAATCTGCAACTTTATTGAAGAACTTTTACTGTGATAATAAGCAAATATATGACATTTTAACAGTATTCAGTATGATTCAGTAGCATAATGTATGGAAATTGAAGCGTAACATAGCCTTGCCATAACATTTTTAATGATGGCACACACTTAGAGTCGAAACGTATCAAAAAACATCTAGTTTAGTCTAGTTTATTCATCAGCTGGTGAGGGATAAACAATAGTAAGAAAGGTTTTTTATGCAGGCCTCATTTTATTATTTAAAAAAAAACTACTAAACAAAATGATGATGGCACACATTTGGAGTCGAAACGTATCGATCTGGTAACAATTACTGCCTTTGAGTAATGGTAATAACAGACAAATGTTATGGCAAGGTCATGTTATGAAGAACTTTCCATACTAAATATTAACAAAAGACACCGAAAACCTAACCCAGAAAACGCACAAATGTCAAAAAAATGATCTTACATAACAGGGTCTTTCTGACTCAGCTTCATAACATACGCGTAACGTTGCAGTTTATGTGTAAAACTTCTGCACATCAAATATATGACATTTTAACAGTATTCAGTATGATTCAATAGCATAATGTATGGAAATTGAAGCGTAACATGGCCTTGCCATAACATTCTTAATGATGGCACACACTTAGAGTCAAAACGTACCAAAAAACATCTAGTTTAGTCTAGTTAAAGTTTTTTCATGCAGGTATCTTTTAAAAAAAAAAATCATAATTTACATGGACACTCCTTATTTTTTCCTTTTTGTGTTTTTGGTATGTACGTTCATAAATATTATAAAACATTTTTTCAGTACGTTTCGACCCTAAATGTGTGTCATCACTCAACAACACATACATGAAAATGACTTTTTTAGTTATTCTTTCCTTATTTTTTCCTTTTTTCATTAATTTTTTTTTTTGCAATTTTGATATATATGTCGCTCATAATTATCACGAGAATTGAGTGGGCACGTTTCGACCCTAAATGTGTGCCATCATTCAGCATTTTCAAACAAAATGACTTGATTTACTTATTTTTTTTCTTGTGCATATGTCTAATGAGCATTTTTTTTATTTTTTTTACTAGATCTCCGAAACCGCTAGACCTGCCTTCCAAAAAAATTTGATCAATTCTTCATCTTGTCAATACAAGTGAAATGTTTTTTGAATCATTCAAATCGGATACTTGGTTCTCTCAAAAAATCAATTACCATTTTTGGCACTTTTTGCCTTGTATCTCCGAAACGGCTAGACCTGCCTTTGCCAAAAACTAATCAGCACCTCTCCTTATCAATGGGAATCGAATGGTAAATGAATCATTCTAATCGGTTGATCCGTGTTCCCGAAATCGTCGACGAAAAATTGTATCCGCACACACACACACGTACATACATTTTTTCTAAGGTATACCAAAATGTTCAGAAACCTTTGAAATGTAAAGATAAATGCAAAAATTTTCATTTTCGATTTTTTTGCGATTACTATAACTTACCCTACGGGAAGGTAAAAAAATTCAGTACGTTTCGACTCTAAATGTGTGTCATCATTCAACAACTGAAACAAAAAAATACACATGTAAAAATGATTTTTTTTAAATTTCCCGTAGGGCAAGTTATAGTAATCGCAAAAAAAACGTAAATGAAAATTTTTATATATCTTCACGTTTCAAAGGTTTCTGAACATTTTGGCAAACCTTAGAAAATAATGCATGTGTGTGTGTGCGGAAACAAATTGTCGTCGACGATTTCGAGCGCACGGATCAACCGATTTGAATGGTTTAAAAAACATTCGATTCATATTGATAAGGAAACGTGCCGATTAGTTTTTGGCGAAGGTAGGTCCAGCCGTTACGAAGATACGGAGCACAGAGTGCAGAAAATAGAAATCGAGTTATTGAGAGAACGGAGTATCCGATTTGAATGATTCAAAAAACATTCGATTCGTACTGATAAGGAGACGTGCCGATTAGTTTTTGGCAAAGGCAGGTCCGGCCGTTTCGGAGGCACGGGGCAAAAAGTGCTATTTAAAAAATTATATTTAGAAATGTGTTCATGTGAACATAACCTTATAATATAAATAAAGTGAATAATTTTTTTTTCAGATAAATTATCAATTGGAAATCAATATTTCACAACATCGAACAATCAGCCGAATGGACGAATAGATTGGGCAGCAAAATATTTAAAATAAATAAAATAATTAATATAATATAATATAATAAATATGTATAATGTATGTATCATTCATGTAAATATTGTAAAGCCGAAAACTGTGATAGATTTTTTAAAAAAACCTTATATTATAATATTATTCATTGTTCAATAATAATAATAAACTTATTCATAAATATAACAATAATAGATGTTTGAATTATAAAACCAAATTTTTCTGGGTAAATTCCACAAACAATATTTTTTATTATTTATTTAATCAACGATCCAAATTCTCCTATTAATTATTATTACATGAACGCTAAATAAACGTGACTACAAATTAATTAAATTAGTTTACAGATGTAAAACAAATATTTAACTTACGAGGTTATGTACAGTTGTAGTAAATTTTTACACTTATTCCAACTGATTTTTATACACTAACACAACTCGAAATTATATTAATTAAACAAAATTGTATTAATTAAATTATATATAATGTTTATTCATAATATAAAGGTTTAATTCATTTTCAAAATGATTTTTATTGTGCATTTAAAAGGAATTGACACATGTGGTAATGACTTTTGACAGTACGCACAATGGCGGCATTTAGTAGGAGGTCGTTGATTATGTAAAGGATAAACGGATAGGGATACACGATGTACGATATTAAATTTCAGTATTAATTTTAAAAAATTTCAACTAAATAGTTAATTATAAGTTTTAGCAACTAATAATAGAGTAATTTACTTTTTTAATCAAATTTATATTTCAAAGACTTTGTTAATATAAAAATTTGGAACTAAATATGCATAGACTTGAAGTTTCACAAGGTTAAATTTTTGGTCTATCATTATCTCTAACTTTTTATATATATTTTTTTTATTTAAATTTTTGTTTTAACTGTTAATAAAACATCTAGCAATATTAAATTTAAACTAGTGGTGTATGGCATCGTGCCTCAAGGCAAATTGCTGGAACTTTCCGTACCGTAACGAAATGTTCGAGGAATATTAAATGTTTTCAAATAAATTATTATAAATACTGAAACATTGTCTAATATTTTTTTATGAAAATTATATAAACTAAATGGCAAAGTTAAAATTATTTATTTAAAGTGTATAAGTGAGCTTTAAAACTTTAGCCAGAATTCAAATTAAAATCTGAATTATTTTCTATATACAACAAAAATATAAGAATTTTTAAAATATTTTTTTTACAAAAGCAATTATTTTGTCAACACAAGCAGAAGGATTTTTAAATTATTTAAATAAGATGATTCGTTCTCCAAAAAACTGCCATTTTTGCACATTTAGCTTCAAATCTCCAAAACGGTTGGACCTGCCTTTGCCAAAAACTAATAAGCACGTTTTCCCATCAATAGGAATCAAATGTTTCTTAAACCATTAAAATCGGTTGATCCGTGCGCCCGAAACCGTGAACGTAAAATTGTATCCACACAAAACACACGCACAAAAATCAATCAAGTAATTTATAAGTATAACAAGTTGCTGTAGGGCGTCATAAAATAAAGAAAACTTATATAGATTATTAAATTTTTCACTTTTTTGTTTATAACACATCATTGAAAAACAAGCACATATTTAATATACACACAAAGTTACTAAGAAAAGCGCAGTGGATTATTCCAAACTTTATTATTTTTTATAATTCAAACATTTTTTGCAGAGCTATAATATTTTAATATATTTATCAAGACCTGGCACTCTATTGCCATACCAAGAATCATTTAAATCATCAGAAAGAAACTGCTTGGCCGATTCCTAAATAATATCTTTAGAACAGTTTTTTGAATGATCAAAATTGGTTCAGAATTTTTGGCTAAAACGATGACGGAAAATTTTGCACTTTTTTGCAAATTACAAAGAAACGGCTTAGCCGATCGTCGCACAAAACTGAGAAACGATAGTCCTCATCGAGATACATCAAATGGCTTTTAAACTTTTGAAATCGGTCTAGCCGTTTTTTGAGAAAACGTCGGTGAAAGGTTTAATTTTGACAAATGCCAAAAAACGATATTAAATGTACTGCCACTACTTGTCGTAGGGGCGTAATATTTTAGTATGATCTATAAGAAAAAAATTACGGCAAAAAATCTGTTCACACACACACACACATGCACATCTTTTTTCCTTAAAATTGATCTCATTCGATTTAGAATGCTTCAAAACGTCGAGAAGCATAAACTTCACCTTCGGAAAGTTTAAAAAATATCAATTTTCTCGTTTTAAATTTAAATCCTTAAACGACCAATCACGTCAAAACAATCAAAATGACGTCACGTGCCATTGACGAATCAGAACTCACGAAAGTCAGACGCAACGGCGCAACCAACTTCAGTCATATCGTAGAATTAACATAAACATTTTATACATAAAATCTATGATAAGTACTCACTAAAGAAGTTTTACTTTGAAAACATTCAATAACACCTTACTCATCACCAATAACAATATACTTAAATACAAAATTTCATAAACAAAATAATATTTTATCATTTTATCATTATCCATATCCCCTTTGCATAATCAACGCCCATCTCTAAATCCCAATTAAACTATGATAATTACCTACTAGCAGCGCTTAAAGAAGTTTTACTTCAAAAACACCTTATTCACCACCACTTACAACATACTTCAATCCAATATTTCCAAAATAAAACAATATTTTATCATTTTATCACTATCCATATCCCTTTTGCATAATCAACGACCGTCTAATTCCCAATTCCAACGCGCCACTTATCTATGGCGCCACCATTCCTAGCTGACGTCAGACGTAACGAAGGCAAGTCAAGTCAGTCAGTTGTGCGAATAAAATAAAGTGATCTAGTACATTAAAAATAATAAAAAAGTGTTATTAAAACTAACAATTCTAAAAATAATAATATAATAATATTTATTAATAACAGACCTGTTTGTTTTTAAAAAAAATGGCGAAGAAAACATATGATTTACTGTTTAAATTATTGTTAATCGGTGACTCTGGTGTTGGAAAAACGTGTATACTTTTCAGATTCTCCGACGACGCCTTTACAACCACTTTTATATCCACAATAGGTAAGATAATAATAAAAATAATAATAGAAATAGTAGTAATTGATATACTAAATATATATTTATTCCTATGGTTATATAATTTCTACTTTTTTCTGTTTTTGGGTTACTTATTTTTAGACATGTCAAAATGACTTTAATTGATATGACTAATACAATTTTGACCTTCTTAGAATTCAATTTCCAAAGTACAAATACAAAAATGTCTTGTCAAAGTTTTTTCTTATATTTTTATTATATATATAATGTATGTCTTATTCCAATACATGATAACCTTGAATTTTGCTTTTTTGCTTTTTGCAATGTCGACAAGTGTTATCTGTTTTGTTAGAATAACAATAATAAATATTTTCCATAAGCAAAGGATTGTTTGTAAATAATTGAATTGGAGATGATAAAAAGGACTTGTAAAGAAAGTATTTGTATATTTATGGGTTTTTGGGTTATTGATTTTGAGAAGAAATGAAAGATGGTTAAAAGTTTAGAGGTTACCTAGCATTTCTTGACAGAAGAGGGTTACCTAGCCTTCCTTGACAGAACTTAAAATTTCATTAAAAAACATAGAATTTGCTTTAATTATAGATAATAATGGATTGGAAGCAACTATATTTAGATATTCATCAATTTTGAATTGGTGATTTTTGAAAAAAAAAAGTACAAGATAGTAAAAAATTAAGAGGTTATCTAACTTTTCTTAACGAGAGAGGTTACCTATCATTCCTTAACAGAACTTAAAATTCACAAATAAATTTGTATTTAGCTCAAACTATATTTTTATATAAATCAAAATATATTGCTTAAATTATAGTACCTCTATTTTAAAACTTTGTGAGTACTTTTAGTTCAAATTTTTACATTAATTATTATAATTTAGGAGTTTTACTACATAGAATACTATCTAGTGTTGTTAATCTTTAATTTTGCATCAAATGGAGTATATCATCTCAAAATAAAGTCTTTGTTAACTATGGTTTGACTTTTGACAATACAAACTAATAATTATTATAATTATAAGTTTTTAAATGCAAGATGATAATAAATCGATAAGATGTTACCTAGTCTTTCTTGACAGGACTTAAAATTACACTAAAAAAAAAATAATAATTGCATTAAAAACAGATAATGAAGAATTAAAAGGAACTATTTTTAAATATTCATGACTTTTGAATAAGTGATTTTTGAAAAAAAGTACAAGATAGCAATAAATTGTTTATAAGTTACACTTATTGACGAGAGAGGTTACCTAGCTTTTCTTGACAGAACTTAAAATTACATTTAAATTTGTGTCTAATTCAAATTATAACATAATTGACATATTACCTCAACTTGTTCTTTGCAGACTACAGTTTCATTTTTTACAATAAAAACCCTTAATTATTACAATTACAATTTTACAACTCCAAGATAGTGTTAAATTGATAAGATGTTACCTAGCCTTCCTTGACAGAACATAAAATTTACAAATAAATTTGTATTTAGCTCACATTATAATTCAAAATATATTGCTTATATTTATGAACACTTGCAGTCCAAATTTTTACAACAATTTTCATAATAATAATAATAATATAACAATTGTAGAGTTATACTATATACAGTACAGTCGATATGTGTGTAAGGATGAGATTGTTTGAAAATATTGAAGATAATGGATTTATGAAGAAATTTATGAAAACTATTCTTAGACTATTTATGGCTTTTGAATTATCGATTTTTAGAAATAAATGCAAGAAGGTGAAAAATCTAAATTAAAAGGTTACCTAGCCTTTCTTGACACGATTTAAAATTACATTAAAAAAAGATAATAATTAAATGAATTCAGATAGTGATTGATTAGATGTATCTATTCTTAGATATTTATGATTTTTAAATAATTGATTTTGAGAAAAAAATGCAAGACGATAAAAAAAATCTAACTTTAGTGTTACCTAGTTTTCCTTGACGGAACATAAAATTACATTTAAATTTGTGTATGGTTCAATTTATAGCCCAATTAACAGAAAATATTTTGTTAAAGTTATATTACATTAGTTTAAGATTTCTTGAGTGCTGATAGTTTAAATATTGCAACAAATAAAGTTAATTTTTATTTTTATAAGATTATACTATATATATAGTATACTATATATATATATATAATAAAAGTGGGCTCTCGTTAAACTGAAAACCAATCTTCTACTTAATGAAATTAGAAGTATTATAATATATAGAGCAAATATGAGTTAAATTTTTTCATTGCTATCACAACCTTATATTAAATTTCTCACAAAACAGTAAACATAATTAATTGTTACAATTATAGAGTTGTATCATATAGAGTACACAGTAGACATGTGTTTAACTATATTATAATCTCCAATTTTATAACAAAATAAGTATATTGCTTTGTAGAGCACTGTTTGACTTTTTATAATAAAAACTAATAATTGTTACAATTACAATTTTTGCAAGTGCAAGAGAGTGTTGAATCGATAAGATTTTACCTAGCCTTCCTTGACAGGATATAAAATTACATTTAAATTTGTAATTATGACCCAATAATATTTATAATTACACTTTTACACTTTTACTATAACTGGCATGTCACTAAACTGAAAATTCATCTTCTAATCAATACAATTATAATTATTACAATATATTAAGCAATATTGTAATAAATCATTAAAATGCTACCTAGCATTCATTGACATACCGTAAAATCACACATAAATTTGTGTCAATCAAATTATAATATATTTAATATAAAATGTATCACTTAAGACATAATACCTTATATTACAATATTTGCAAGAACTGATAGTTCTTATTTGGCAACAAATATAATTAATTTATACAATTATAGAGCTATACAATATATACTATAAGTGAAATAATTGATTTTAAAATAAATTTTCAAATTGAGTACTCTTATTCTAATCGATGAGATTACAACTATTAAGCAAATACAAGTTAATTTTCTTCATCGTGATCACAACTTTACAATAAATTTATCACACTACAATAAATATAATCAATTATTACAATTATAGAGTTAAATTTTATATACTACAGTTGATATGTGTTTAATTATGTTGTAATCTTCAATTTTAAAACTAAATAATTATGTTACCACAAATTAAAGTCTTTGTAGACTATAGTTTAACTTTTTACAATTTAAATTATCATTTATTACAATTGCAAGATTGTAATAAAGTGTTACGAGGTTACCTAGCATTCATTGACAAGACTTAATATTGCATTTAAATTTATATCTTATTATATTTATATCATACTAATATTTTAAATATTATTATATTGAAACAATAAAATGAAAATTTATCTTCTAATCAATGAAATTACAATTATTACAATTTAATGAGCAATATTGTAATAAATCGATGAGAGCTTACCTAGCATTCATTGACAGAATGTAAAAATGCATTTAAATTTGTATCTAATTATATTTATAATATACTAATATTATAAATATTATTATATTGAAACAATAAAATGAAAATACATCTTCTAATTAATAAAAGTACAATTATTACAATATAATGAGCAAGATTTCAATAAATCGTGTAGAGCTTACCTAGCATTCCTTGACAGGATGTAAAATTTTATTCAAATTTGTGTCTAGCTCAACTTGGAATTTAAAATATATTATTTAAACTGTAGTACCTTATATTAAAATCTTTGTGAGCACTTTTAGTCCCAATTTTTACATTTTTTATAATAATTATAGAGTTATTCTAAATTGTTAAGAAGTTACCTAGCTTTCCTTGACTAAAGGATGTAAAATTGCATTTAAATTTTTGTCTAACTCAAAATATATTACTTAAATTAGAGTACCCTATATTACAGTCTTTATGAGTACTTTTACCCCAATTTTCATATTAATTTTTATAATTATAGAGTTATTCTAAATCGTTGAGAGGTTACCTAGCTTTCCTTGACAAGATATAAAAATACATTTAAATTCATGTCCAAATGTAATCATAACTAATTAATATTTACAATTAGATTTATACTATTAATGGCATGTCACTAAATTGAAAATTCATCTTCAAATCAATAAAATTACAATTATTACAATATAATGAACAAGATGGTAGTAAATTGTCAACAGGTTACTTAGCATTTATTGATAGGGTGTAAAAATACATTTAAATTTGTGTCTACCCCAAATAATTCTTTAAAATATATTGCTTATATTATAATATATATTAAAAACTTCACAAGTACTTACAGTCCCAATATTTATATTAATTATAATAATTATAGAGTTATTCTAAATTTTTAATCGATTACCTAGCTTTTCTTGACAGGATGTAAAATTACATTTAAATTTGTGCCTAGCTCAGATTGCACTTTAAAATATATTGCTTATATTATACTATATATTAAAAACTTTACAAGTACCTACTTACGGCCCCAATTTTTATAATAGATATTATATATATATAATATCTATATATATTTTATAATAATTATAGAGTTATTCTAAATCGATAGGAGGTTACCTAGCTTCTTGACAGGGCATAAAATTACATATAAATTAGTTTCTAATTATAATTTTAGCATCACAATATTTGTAATTACTAGATTGTCACTAGATTTTAAGCCCCAAAATTTAATAATTTTTCAAAAACAGTTCCAACAGGCTTAAAGGATTTGAAACTATATTATAGCACATTAAAACACAATATAGACTTTTTTTAACTTACTATTTATTTCGTAGAATATTTATTCAAAAGGACGTTTTGCTGAAGGTTGTTTTATTCAACTATATAATGATAAATAAATCCATAAATTTTCAAAAATTACATACATATATTCTCTTATTTAATTTCTATTTTTAATATTGGGATAAGCAAATGGAAAGTGTATTTTAATTTTAATTTTTATTTTAAAAACACTATTGTGAGTTAAATTATGCAGTTATGCTATTATTATAAAGTTATACTAAATTGTTAATCGATTACCTAACCTTCCTTGACAAGATATAAAATTACATGTAAATTCATGACTAATTGTAATTCTAGCATAATAATATTTATAACTAGATTATATACTATAAATGGCATGTCAATAAATTGAAATTTCATCCTCTAATCAATAAAATTACAATTATTACAATATAATGAACAAGATTGTGATAAATCGTTAAAGATGTACCTAGCCTTTATTGACAAGATGTAAAATTATGTGTAAATTTGTGTTTAGATCAAATTATAATTTAATATATATATATATATATATATATATATTACTCATATTAAAATTTTGGCAAGCATTTTAAGCCCATTTTATAATTTTTACATTAATTATTACAATTACACAGTTAGTCGTATATGTGTTTAATGTTTTGTTAAAATAACATTAAATATTTGTATGTGAATTTTAAAATAAAGACTCAAGATAGTAAAGGACTTATGTGAAGAATCTATTTTTAGACCATTTATGGCTTTTGCATTATTGATTTTGAGAAAAAGTGCCAGATGGTAATAAATTGCTTAGAGGTTACCTAGCATTCCTTGACGAGACATAAAATTACATTTAAAAGGAAAATTAATTTAACAAATCATTGCTAATTAAAGTTAGCATTAACTATTACTATTTCACTATTATATTAATAATAAATTTACCACAAAAATGCTTTCAATAAAAACAATTACCTATTTATTTTCTTTCATGTGTTTTTTAATCAATGTTTATAAATTTTTTTTCTTTCTCTATTTCCAGGTATAGATTTTAAAATAAAAACTGTAGAATTACGAGGGAAAAAAATCAAATTACAAATATGGGACACAGCGGGCCAAGAAAGATTTCACACAATCACCACATCGTATTACAGAGGAGCAATGGGCATTATGCTGGTCTACGATATAACAAATGAGAAAAGTTTTGAAAACATAGTCAAATGGTTACGCAATATAGATGAAGTAAGTGGTAATAGATTTATTAATAATTTATATATATATATATATATATATATATATATATATGTAAATTCTTCTGTGCGGGTGTATGATTTGATACTTCTAAACGGTTATTCGGATTTTGATAAATCTTTTTGAAGTTTGTTAAGGGATTTTTTTAGAATTTTTTGAATTATAGCAGTATAGGTTGTAGAAATATATGAAAAAAATTACAAAAAAACTCTTATCATTATTTGACATTGATTTGCAATCTGCTAGAAATGTCGATTCACTTGAAATTTGAATTTAGCTGAAATTATGAGTCTAGATAATATTAGAATGCAATATACAAGAAAAATGTAATGTCTACATTATTATTGCCGAATAGCAGCTGAGATGTGCCAGGAATTAAAATAATATAAGATACAGTCAACTGTATATGTATTTGGCAGATGAAATTATATAATTTAGTTTAATAAATAACGCAATAAGTCTAAAATAGCATATACATTATTTTTTTAACTCATGCAAGTCGCACTTTAATTTACTTTACTAAATTATTTGACAATACAAAAAAATATTTCTACTTATTAAAAAAATGATTTAGAATTTTGGACCACTGTACATCTTTGATAAAATTATTTTATTTAGTTACTATTCATAAAAGGAATATAAACTATTTTTTTAGGACTCTGTCTAGTAAATAATTTTAACACAATATTACTTTTATTAGGACAAAAACTTCTTCCAATCTGTCTATCAAATCAATTGTTCAAATTGTGACTTAATATACATTGGTGGATCCAGACAAAATTTAATAAAATGTTTTTAATAAAGTTCTAAACAATTTAAAAGACCTCTGTGTACTTTTTTGACAAAATTTATCAAAATTTTTGACCATGGTAAACATTTGTTTTAGGAGAATTATATTTTTTTGGAAAAGCTTTTTAAAACTCATGACCCTGATTTGTAAATAATTTAAAAATAAAACCCCATACTATTTTTGTCTAAAATAGAACTAGATTTTAACTAAAGAGTATACTAAATTTCTTTCAATTTTCAACACTTTGAAAATCTAGTCTATTTAATAAAATTTAATAAAATGTTTTTAATAAAGTTCTAAACAATTTGAAAGACCTCTGTGTACCTCTTTGACAAAATTGATAAAATTTTTGACTATGGTAAACATTTGTTTTTTAAAGGAACTATATATTTTTGGAAAAGCTTTTTAAAACTCATGACCCCGATTTGTAAATAATTTAAAAATAAAACCCCATACTATTTTTCTAAAATAGAACTAGATTTTAACTAAAGAGTATGCTAAATTTCTTTCAATTTTGAACACTTTGAAAATCCAGTCTCTTTAATAAAATTTAATAAAATGTTTTTAATAAAGTTCTAAACAATTTAAAAGACCTCTGTACCTCTTTAACAAAATTTATAAAAAAATTTGACCATGGTAAACATTTGTTTTAAGAGAACATGTATTTTTGAAAAAGCTTTTTAAAACTCATGACCCTGATTTGTAAATAATTAAAATAAAACCCAATACTATTTTTTACCTAAAATAGAACTAGATTTTAACTAAAGACTGTACTAAATTTCTTTCAATTTTGGACACTTTAAAAATCTAGTCTATTAAAATTTTTAATTAACATTTTGTTTACTCTAATATAAAAAAAATACTATTGGCCCAAGAATAGAGTCTTGTGGAACTCCGAGTTTCATAATTAAATCAATTGCTCAGATTGTGATGTAATATATATTGGTCAAACCGAATAAAATTTAATATTTTTTTAAAAACAATTCTACCTAAACGATTTGAAACTACCAGGTTAAAATAATACATTAAAACATAATACAATTATTTTTTTTACTTGACTATTTATTTTGAAAAAAAAAAAATTATCCAAAGGACGTTTTGCTGAAGGTTGTTTTATTCAACTATATAATGATAAATCCATAAATTTTCAAATATTTTCATTTAGAATCGTGTTAAGAAAAATTAACCAACATATATTCTCTTATTTTGTAAGTGTTTCTTAATTTTGAACACTTAAAAATCGAGACTATTATTAAATCAATTGCTCAAATTGTAATTTAATATATATTGGTCAAAACGAAAAAAAATTAATAATTTTTCAAAAACAGTTCCAACACACCTAAAGGATTTGAAAATATATTAGCACTTTAAAACACAATATAGATTTTTTTTACCTTATTATTTACCTTGAAGAAAATTTATTCAAAGGACGCTTTGCTGAAGGTTGTTTTATTTAACTATATAATGATAAATCCATAAATTTTCAAATATTTGTTAAGAAACATATATTCTCTTATTTCATTTCTGTTTTTAATATGAGGACAAACAATTTGTACGTGTTTTTAATTTTAAAAACACTTTTGTCAATTAAATTATGCAGTTCCATTGAATGAAGGTTAGGATTATATCCGAAACGTCGCATAGATTTTAAAATAGATTAAAAAAATGTTTTTATTGGTATAAATGAATAAATGAATATACTTCAATATATAAATGTTTCGAGATACGATTCGCCAATGAAGCGACTTGCTTTGTCATACGAGCAAAATTCGAGATACGAGCTCTGAGCGAGTAAGAGTTTTTTTTTTTAGAAAAATATTAAACGAAATGAACTCATGAAATATATTATTGAAAATATATTATAGACTTTTTTACCATTTTGAAGAAAATTCATCCAAAGGTCGTTTTGCTGAAGGTTGTTTTATTCACCTACATAAAAAACAGTGACATTGCATATCTTTGCGATACAAACAATTTGGTTTTTTTTATTATATTTTAAAGATTGTTAGATTATAAATATAAATATATATATATATGTATATGTATATATATATATGTATATATATATACTAGCATGCCCGGCCACGCTTTGCTGTGGCTTGGTTTTTCATAAATATTAATTAATTTATTTGTTAAAATCTTAGGAACATTTGTACTCATTAATTTCCTTGCAAATTGGAAAAATCTCATTTTTGACACGGACAGATTTAGATTGATTTTGCGTTTTTTCGAATTTATATAAAATATATATTTTTATCTTAAATTGAGATTTATATAATCCTTAAGGGTCTTAATGAGGAACTTGATAGTAAATTAAATTTAAAATCGGTTCCGTAGTTTAGGATTATATTCGGGACAAACATCGTGACACGTGGTTTATAATTTTAGGTTCTTGTAGGATTTTGATATATTTGAACTATTTTTTGAAATCTTAGAAAATAGATAAAAAATAAAAATTGGAGTGTAAATAAATTGTTTAGTCCAGAAACATTGTCTTTTACCATTCCATTATCAATCGCGACATTAAATGTTCTAAGGTCGGAGTTAAATCTGAGAAATGTGATTCATTTATTTATTAGACTGAATTGATGACATCGTCGTCGTCATCATCATAAAATAGCTTTTGATAAGTAACAGGAAATGAAGAGAATTGTTGCAAGTTATCTCTCTCTCTCGATAATACTTTTATTTTTGTACAAAAACATTTCTAATAAAATATGTTCAATTTACATTAATTATTTATTTTTAAATTAAAAATACAATAGTGTAATCAATTTATAACATTTATTTATGAGAGGCACTTGACACTGACACACCTTGATCAAAGATTATGGTATCAAGTTCAAAATTCTAATTGTAGATTAGATTTGGAATTTGTATTTGTAGTGAAAGTATTTTTTGCAAAATTAGACTTGAAAATATTTTACCTAATACACAGTAATATGAAATAAATTAATTATATAACTTGGAGTTCCACAAGGCTCTATACTTGGTCCATTTATTTTTATTTAAATTAGAGTAAACAAAATGGTAATTCAAATAATCACGTTTTTGGTCTTTTCATAGACCTCTAATGTTCTACATATATATTAGGGTGGTCCTTAATATGGACCTTTACGAATTTCTTTGCTCCCAAGGGCTCAAATGTTACCAAATTATTATTAGATTATGGTATCAAGTACAAAATTGTAATTGTAGATTAGATTTGGAATTTGTATTTAGTGAAAGTATTTTTTTTGCAGAAATTCGACTTGGCTATGTTTTTCTTAATACACAGTAATATGAAATAAATTAATCATAGAACTTAGGGTTCCACAAGGCTCTATTCTTGGTCCATTTATTTTTATTTAAATTAGAGTAAACAAAATGTTAATTCAGATAGTCAAGTTTTTGATCTTTTCATAGGCCTCTAATGTTCTACATATATATTAAGGTGGTCCTTAATATGGATTTTTTTGAATTTCTTTGCTCGCAAGGGCTCAAATGCTTCCAAAGTGATACAAAAAAATTCTTTAAAAGTTTTAGCTCTTAATATTAACATTTAGATAGTCCGCAATTCAATTAAAAGTTTAGCATATTTATTATTAAGTAAATTTTTGCGCCATCTGTGATAGCATTTGTGAATTTAAATATTACGACACTTAGAAATATTTATAAATCACTTAACCTTTAATTAAATCTATAACAAAGTATTTATTCAAGATTAATTTTACATCAAAATATTTATTTAATTGGTGATTTTGGTGACTCAAATTATCAGTAATAAATTGCCATCAAAGTTACAACTCTGCTATCACAGATGACGCAAGTATTTACTTAGGGATATACGTTAATAATAAATATACGAAATTTTTACTTGAATTGCGGACTGTCTAAACGTTAAAAGTAAGAGCTTAAATTTTTAGAGAATGTTTTTGTATTAATTTGGAAGCATTTGAGCGCTTGGGAGCAAAGAATTTCGAAAATATCCATATTGAGGACCATGCTAATACATATATAACAACTATCAACATTTCTCAATTGAACTATTTTAATGAAGATTTGAATAATGAACACAGATGTACTCTATTTATAATTAGGTAAAAACAGTAAAAATTTATAATTAAGTAAAAGATAAGATAAGATTCACAATATATCGAGATATTTTGAATTAAGATAAAAAGCAAAAGTAAAACAAAAACCGAAAAATCTATTTCAATTCTTTGTTAAATTTCACACGAACGAAATCTCGAGTACATAAGATAAGATACTTCTTTCTAAATAAAAATAGCGTAAAAAATTTTGACAAAATCGGTCCAGCTGTTTTTGGAGTTTATCCCAAACAATCATACACACTGACAAAAATTTAAAAGAAATGTTAATTTGTAAAGGACTATTTTAATATCACAAACAGACACTTTAATTTTATTTTTATGTGTAGCTTTATTTTGAAAATCATTTGAGAAAGTCATGAAATATAGAGCTTGGAGTTCCACAAGGCATTGTTCTTGGTCCAATATTATTTTTATTTATTGTATTTATTAATAATTTAATAAAAAAAATTGAGGAGGTCATGCTAAATTTCTGGAACTATTTGTTTATATCATTTTTAATCTTGGATGACAAATGTTAACACGTTAATTGCCACGATAATATTGAAAAAAAATTCAGTTTTACATATATAGCAAACATAGCCCTATATTAACCTTTTTAGACCAAATCTTGTATGTCAGTTATAGAACTTGTTAGCGTCAGACACATATGGCTGACAAAATTTTAAAAAAATGTTAATTTGAAAACGACTATTTCAATATTACGAACAGACATTTCAATTTTTTTATATGTATAGCTTTAATTTAAAAATCTCTTAGAAGAGTCATGAAATATAGAGCTTGGTGTTCCACAAGGCATGATTCTTGGACCAATACTATTTTTATTTATTGTATTTATTAATGATTTAATAAAAATCTTTTGAGAAAGTTATGCTGAGTTTCTGGAAATATTTGTTGATATTATTTTTAATTTTGGACGACAAATGTTAAACTTAACACTTTAATTGCCAAGATAATATGAGAAAATTCAAAGGTCACAGATATATTTAGACAAGACTTGTATCACATGTCAGGCATGGAACTTAGAACTTTTTAGCGTCAGACACATTTGACTGACGTGGTTAAAATGTTACTAAATTTAAAACACCGGATATTTTCTTATATACAGTCTTTGACAATCACCCAATACAGATATTGGTTATCTCATTGTCATATTTACTTTACATAAAAATAGTACTTGAAAAATTATTAAGTGTTAATGAAAACTGTGAATTGAGGTCATATGCACAAAGTTGACAATTTGTATACACCACTCTAATGTTTTGTACAAATTAAAAAATTAAAAACGAACGGTTTGTGCATACAAAATTATATTGATTTTGGTAATTAGTCCCTTATGCAGTTCAGTAACTGTTGGATAGAAAGAATTTTTTGGAAATTGTAAATAATGTAATGTAATAATAATAACTAGAAAACAGGTAAAGTTTGGATAATAAAATTAATACTATTTTAAAGTAGAGGGCAAAAAGGTGGTGGTAGCCAGTCTTTATCAGTTTTTATTGCCTTAAGTCAGGCGGTACGACATGAATTAGACACATTGACTGACAATTTATCGAAACGATATTAAATTAAAGTAAACGGCAAAAAGCGTGTTTTAATAAAATTATTTTGAGAATGTCATAAAATATAGAGCTTGGAGTTCCACAAGGCACTCTTCTTGTACCAATATTATTTTTATTCATTACATTTATTAATGATTTAATTTAAAAAAAATGAGGATGTAAAATCAAGGAAAATCAAGGAACCGTCTTAATCGCCTTAAATTGGGCGCATTGACAATTTGTCTAAAGTATTTTTTTAGTTTTTTTTTAGTTCTGAGCACTGTTGTTTAGTTTACTATACCTTAATTTTTTTCAGCATGCGAACGAAGATGTGGAAAAAATGATCTTGGGAAACAAAAGTGATATGGACGATAAAAGGGTAGTGTCGAGGGAACGTGGAGAGGCGGTAAGTAAATTTTATTTTATATTAAAAAAAAAAAAATTATATACAAATTTTAGTAATAATCTATCATCATAATGTCCTTCCTATGGGGTAAAAATGGAAAATTAATCAGAATTAAAATAATTGGCAACTAATTACCAATTATATAATTTTTGGACTATATATTTATATTCATGGTATCTTTAAGGGATTAAATTAGGGACTTGAGAGCAAATCAAATTTAGAATCGGTTCAGTAGTTTAGGGGTCCATTTGGGACAAACATCGTGACATGTACTTTATATTAAAATAATTCTTGTTCTTGTGGGAATTGTTGTAAATCTCATTTTATAGCTAGTGAATAGTCGATTGATATGAATTATGTACATACATACTTTACCTAAAAAAAACTTTATTAAATTATGTAAAGATCATCTCAACACCATAATGGTGCACTAAAACGGGGGCACACACAAATTTCAAGAATAATTTCATCTTTTACCTAACTCCATGGGTTATAAAACAGTTGATTTATAAACACATGCTTCATTTTCAAACAAAAATATTTTTTTAGCAAATCATGTAAAGATGGTTTCTACATCATTGTGTTGTGCACTAAAACGTGGGCACTCACAAATTTTTAAGGATAATTTAATCTTTTACCTAACTTTGCGTTGCAGATAAGTTTCAATTATGAATTATGATTTTTTTTAGTAAAACATGTAAAGGTCTTTTCTACACAATCACGTGGTGCACTAAAACGTGGGCACTCACAAACTTCAAGAGCTATCCCATCTTCAAACATTAAAAATTGATAAAAAAAATGGAGCTACCATTACGCAATTCTTTATAATATATAAATTTTCCTTAGAAAAAAATGTTTTTCTGTATAAATTTACTTTTCAAAGGTTTCTGAACATTTTTGCATATCTTAAAAAAATGTATGTGTGTGTGTGTTTGTGTGTATATATGTATGTGCGGATACAATCTTTTGTCAACGTTTACGGACGCACTGATCAACCGATTTGAAGGATTCAAAAAACATTCGATCCCCATTGATAGGGAGATGTGCTGATTAGTTTTTGGCAAAGGCAGGTCCAGCCGTTACGGAGATACGGCGCAAAGAGTGCAGAAAATACAAATCGAGTTTTTGAGAGAACGGAGTATCTGATTTGAATGATTTAAAAAACATTCAATTTGTAATGATTGGGAGAAGAAGTGATTAGTTTCTGGAAAAAGCAGGTTTAGTCGTTTCGAAGATACAGAGTTAAATGTGCAAAAAATTGCAGTTTTTGAGTGAAATAATACGAATCCGATTTGAATGATCTAAAAAACTGTCTGCTTGTATTGACAAAACAATTGCTTTTGAGGACAAAAAATTATTACATCCTTTTTTATTTTTCATAAAATATTTTTGTAATTTTGGATTAAAAATTAAAAAAATACCAAGACTAAGCACAGTCTAAGCGCCACACTGGTACAAATGTTTACCCAAGTGCGTTTAGACTGTTTATGTATTGGAGCACGTGTCCAATTTTGTGAGAAAACTATTGAAAAATGTGAAAATGCCGCCAAGCTTAGCACAGAATTATTTGCAAATGCGTTTAGACTGTGACTGTAAGGGAGCACTTTTTCAATTTTTTGTAAATTAGGCAACTTTTTTTTTTGAAATTGAATTGGAAATGAAATGACGATTGTTAATGTAATAATTGATTTATGATTTACATTTGATTTGCTCAGATATAACAATAAGATAGCAAAATAATTAAGGTTACAACAGTATTTGTAATAATATATTTGAAAACGTTTAAAATTTCTCGAATATTTCATTACGGTACAGGGAAGTTCCAGCAATTTGCCTTAAGGAACAATGCCATACACCACTAGTTAGTTTTTTAATATTCCGTAATCATCCTCATTATTATTGTTATGTAATAAAATAAAAAATATTTGTAATAAAACTCTGTCTTTGTAAAAAAATATTAATATACCACCTTTTGCAAGAATAGATAAAACAAATAAATCCTCACCTAATAATATTAAATTAAATCAACTGGCACATTTAATATTAATCTCAAATAAATTAATAAGTACAGATATTTATTAAAACAAGAACAAAATTGATGGTAGACATATTATATACATCATAAGAAATATAAAATACTTTAAAATTCCTCGAATATTTCATTACGGTACGGAAAGTTCCAGCAATTTGCCTTAAGGCACGATGCCATACACCACTAGTTAAATTAAGAAGTGCTTTAATTTATTTACTACAAATCACTAATCTATCATTTATCCTGCAGATAGCACGAGAGCACGGCATAAGATTCATGGAAACATCTGCAAAAGCCAATATAAATATCGAAAAAGCCTTCAACGATCTGGCAGAAGCAATCCTGGACAAAACGGCAGGAAAGGATCCATCGGAGCACCCTGACAGGGTCATGGTGGAACGCAGGGACAACAGGGGCTCGAGGAATGGATGTTGTTCATAAAATCAATAAACAATCAAGTAATCTTCGATATAAGTGAATAATGAATTGATAAATTGATATCGTCAAACACAATAGTAATTAATCATTGATAACCAAATTTTGAATATATATATATATATATATATATATATATATGTATATATATATATATATATATATATATATATATATATATATGTATATATATGTATATATGTATATATATCTATCTATATCTATCTCTATATATATATATGTCTATCTCTCTCTCTATCTGTCTATATCTCTATATGTCTCTCTATCTATATCTATCTCTCTATCTATATATATATCTATCTCTGTTAACCCGCACAACTTTTGGAGCAATAAGTAAGAAACAAATTGTTTATGCTTAAATGTAGCTTAATTAATTGTCAAGAACTTTTTATACTTAAAAAATAATGGGAGTGAAATCATCTAGCTCAGTATGATTATTTTTTTTTTAATACAATTTGTTAGGTAGTATGTTATGGCCTGTTAAAACAAAAATAAGTTAAATTTAAAACGTTAATTTATTTCCCCTTTGTAACTAATAAAAAATTTACTAAAATCGTTTACTAACAATTAAATTTTTATGGGTCTGAATAATAACAACCTTTTTTTTATATTTCATTTTTATTTGCTAGTTTTTTTTATGAATAATTTTTAATAAGTACATTTATAAATATTATACAAGTGAAAACAAATTATGTTTGTATATATGTATATATATGTATGTATGTTTATATGTTTTTGCAATTTTTAATAGAACAATTGTTGCAAAATTTAATCTAAAGTCGTTTTGTATGATAATTTTTTTTAATAAATCTTTTGTAAAAGTAAATCAAATTTAAATTACTAGATTTTATTTGAAATAGTAAAAATTATGGAGATTTTTTTTTTTAAATAAAATTTACGAATTTTAATACTTTTAATTTGTTTCAAATGACAATTCGTTAGCCCACTGTACTATATATAGCACAGCAAATTTATGCAAACTCGTATGTATTAAATTATATTATTAATTTACATTTTTTTAGTTATAATAATTCAAAAAAATCTTTATTACTCGCATTTTATTCGTCGCATATTTTCTTTTATTTTTTTAAATGATTATGATAAATATAAAAACTAATATTTTTTATTTTTGATTAAGTTAACATTCTTATTTTATTAATTAAAATGAATAAATATTTATTAACACTTTTTACGACTCAATTATCAAATATTTCCTTTTTTTTTAAATAAAATTTTCGAATTTTAATACTTTTAATTTGTTTCAAATGACAATTCGTTAGCCCACTGTACTATATATAGCACAGCAAATTTATGCAAACTCATATGTATTAAATTATATTATTAATTTACATTTTTTTAGTTATAACAGTTCAAAAAAATCTTTATTACTCGCATTTTATTCGTCGCATATTTTCTTTTATTTTTTTAAATGATTATGATAAATATAAACACTAATAACATTTATTTTTGATTAAGTTAACATTTTTAGTTATTAATTAAAATAAAAAGTATTTATTAAAACTTTCGTATGTTTTTCTTTTGTATTATATTATTTCAAAATTCGTAAAAAATATTTTTTTTAATTAATTTTTAATAAAAATAACTTTACTTATTTGAGAATGAAAATTGAGAAATAAATCGAATATTTATTAAAACTTTTTCCGACTCAAGTCTTAAAATTTTTTTTCTGTGTTATATTATTTTAAAATTCGTAAAAATTTTTTTTAAATTATTTTTTATTAATAAATAAATTTACTTATTTTGAAGAATAAAAATGGAGAAATAAAGCAAATATTTATTAAAACTTTTTCATGACTTAAAATATTTTTTTCTCTCTCAATTTTAAAAGAAATTTTAGATATGATATTAAGGATATAGTTAAAATGATTACTTGCATAAGCTATATATAGTACGAGTTACAAAAGTTTATTAAAAAAAATATGCAAAATTGTCAAAACTATAATAATTATCAAAATTATAATAATTGCCTAAGTTTACTAGTAATTTACTTACTGGTTATTTATAATTATTAAATAAATGAAGGCTAGGATGTTAGCCGAAACGTACGGATATCAAATTGAACTTATAAAAATTGATTTAATTAACTTTTGAACATTGAATTTTAGCCAAATAGTCGAAATAACGGTAAATGTTGATTTATTTATTTTGTATGTTTTGATACTGTATGTGTGTCATCACTCAGCAAAAGAAAAATACAAAAATAAAATCGATGTTTCGTGTTTTCGTTTGTTTTTTTTTTGGTTTCGATACGGAACAATGTTATATTTTTTATGAAATTGATGACTGGAGACACATACAGTGTCGAAACGTACAAAATGAATAAAACAATTTTACTGTTTTTTTTAATAAAGGCTAAGATGTTAGCCGAAACGTATGGATATCAAATTGAACTTATAAAAATTGATTTAATTAACTTTTGAAGATTGAATTTCAGCCAGATAGTCGAAATAACAGTAAATGTTTATTTATTTATTTTGTACGTTTCACACAAAAATAAAACCAGAGGACTAAAATAAAATAAATGTTTCGTGTTTTTGGTTGTTTTTTTTGGTTTTGATTTGGAACAATGTTATATTTTTTATGAAATTGATGTGTGACGACACACATACAGTGTCGAAACGTACAAAATGAATAAAACAACATTTACTGTTTTTTTTTGACTATTTGGCTGAGAATATATATATATATATATATATATTTGATTGATTCTTTTCCGAACAGTATATCCAATAATAAAAAACAATTTGTTTTTTGAAGATGTGTAATAACGACGTTTCGGAACTAGATACGTTCCATCATCAGGTTTATTCTGTCAAAGACCATATTTTTTTATAAACTATTCACTAATATTAATTAATGATGGTTATTACAGATCATTTAGAAAAATTATAAAGGAATGGATTATGTACCAGGGTGAAGAGTAAAAAAAATTAACTAAAAAAGGTTTTATATAAAATTGGGAAGCAAAATTTTATATATATTACAAGTAAATAATTTTTGCTTCTCAATTCTTTCAAACTTCTTCAGAAAACAAATTGCTTTTTTATTATTGGATTTACTGTTCGGAAAAGAAACAATCAAAATATTGAAAAAAGCCAGGATTGATCTATTGAATATATATATATATATATATATATATATATATATATATAATATGTGAATATTATTTTAGTTGTTTTTAACAGGAATAACATTTTTCATACCGACAAAAAAAATTTGCTTAAAAATGCAACTCAATACTTAATTTCATATCTTAAAAATATTGTAAAATATCTTGAAGTATTTCTCCATAGAGAAATTGTAAGACTGCTTTTTTAATTCGCAAAAACACAAGCTTTTTTTTTTAAATATAATCTTATACATATATATATTTATTTAAGGTGGTCCTTAATATGGACATTTTCGAATTTCTTTGCTCCCAAGGGCTCAAATGATAAAAGAAAATTGTCTAAAAGTTTTAGCTCTTAATATTAACATTTAGATAGTCCGCAAATCAATTAAAAGTTCCATATATATATATATATATATATATTATTAACATATAACCCTAAATAAACACTTGCACCATCTGTGATTGCAGACTTGTAACTTTAATGGCAATTTATTACTTTGAGTGACAAAATCATCAATTAAATAAATATTTTGTTTAACGTGGATTTAATTAGAGGTTAAGTGTTCTATAAATATTTTTAAGTGTCGTAATATTCGAGTTCACAAATGCTATCACAGATGGCGCAAGAATTTACTTAATAATAAATAAACGAAACATTTAATTGAATCGCGGACTACCTAAATGTTAATATTACGACCTAAAACTTTCATAGAATTTTCTTTTATCAATTTTTTATCATTTGAGCCCTTGGGAGCAAACAAATTCGAAAATCCATATCAAGGACCACCCTAATATATACAAAAAACCATAACATGCTACATAAGCTTAATATTTTCTACCATCATCGAACCTAAATATATGTAAATGTTTAATTTTGTATATTTTCTTCTCTATATATATACATATATGTATTTATTAATTTTTTTATATATGTTCAAAAATGTCGAGCACTTTTTCTCAAATAATTTTTAATATCTGTCTTAATACTAATATTAATATTAAATAATAATAATAAATGATTATTGTGAACGAGTGGTGACTTACCAGTGATAGGGAAAAATATTATGTAGATAAATTAGTTATTGTTTTTTTGCTTTTATATATATATATACATACACATACATACATATACTATACATATATATATATATATATATATATATATATATATATATATATGTATATATGTATATGTATATTGCATAAATGATTGCTTCCTGAGAAACAAATTATAAAAAATATTTGGGTAAAGGCAATGGTAACAAAATTATGTATATATATGCACAGGGTGTCCCAGAACTCAACGTCAAGCCCAATGAAACAAAAATAGTAAAAATTCAAATATCTCACGTTGTTTGCAGGTTATGGGCCCTTAAATGCAACCTACTGGAGCTTTGATTGGAATTTTGACCAATTTTCGGCTTTTGTGGTTGATTTTTATTATTTTTGTTCATTTAAACTTTGCAACCGTAACCGTAGATAAGATTTTTAAGACGTTAGGCCAAAATTTGGCACATTTGTCACCAATTTTTCAAGATTTAACACTTTTTGTTGAACCGTGACTTTGGAATTTTTAAAATCGGTCGACTTTGAGAGCCCCTGGTGTTAAAAAAATGTACTAAAGTGTGTTTGCAAGTTACGTCAAAAGATGGTGCGTTTTATTTGGATTGCAAAATTGTAAAATATTTGATGAGTTTATTATTGAAAATTTTGAGTAAAAAAATAAAAACCGAAAAATGACATAATTTTTGCCAAGTGCATTTTAGTCACAATTTTAAGTTTTCATTTTTTACTCGAAATTTTCAATAACAAACTTATCAAGTATTTTACCATTTTACAATCCTGTTTAAATGCGCCATCTTTTGATGCAACTCGCCAACACACTTTAGTACATTTTTCTGACACCAGAGGCTCTGAAAGTCGACGGATTTTGAAAATTT